TTAAAAAAAAAAAAAAAAAAAGACACCATCCACAATCAAATTAATCAACTTATAAATCAAAATTTTGCATAAAATATTGACAAATAATATCAAATTGATACTAATTATAATTCACAATTAATATGTACAAAATTTATTCAATGGTATAAATATATAATCACATAAATTAATATTTAAGAACCTAAAAAATTAAATAAAATAATTAAAAAATAAAAAATATATTAGGTGAGTTAACTCGTGAATCAACCTAACTCACCATTGGATTGACTCATGATGAATAAGACTAAATTTTTCTTATACAGCAGATCATCCAACCCATCTTTGAGAGAGTCTGGGTTTGGGTAGCGTTCTTTCCTACAGCCTTTAACTTGTTTGCTTTGATGTTTTTTGTATAGAAACTAGACAAGTCATCAAAACTCTTGTCAAGGCCCGAACTGAAATTGTTTTTCGTATTAATGATTCATCTCATCTCATCCACAGAATTTACAAACATAATTTTGGATTATTGAATTTCAATTTACAAACATGCCTGGCATTTGTTATGCACGGCCAAGACAATCGGAGCAAGCAACCATAAAAAACATGTTTCGATAAAATCATAACTAAGGTTAGGCAATAAAATACTATCTTACAAGTGTTCAACAATTACCATTTGGAAGAAAGAATTGTACGTTAGACAAGGAAAAAAGATGAACAGTTGATTTTTAATATTAAAATCCAACTTCCAATAGTACTCTGTACAAGTAAATCATTTACTATTTGGTATTAAGACATGGAGATGCCATCAACTAAGAAACGATAGAGAAAACAAAAGTATAAGTGTATAACTATTTCTGTAACAAAATTCTTGGTCTATATTCTCAAGTTAAAATCATGCTGATTAGTTGGTAGATAATCACCTAGAAATATGACTCAGAATAGGATGTATAGCAGCTTTGAAATCATCATAAAACCTCTGCTCGGAAAACCTGCTTGCTCGTCTCCTTGCAGCTGCAGCCATCTTAAGCCTTTCCATCTCTGACATCGTTACAATTCTCACCATGGCATCAGCATATTCTTCAACAGTGCAGGAAAGAAATCCTGTTTGCTGTCCATCTTCATCCAACACAATGTCCATTTTTGGGCCAGCAGAATTATGAGCTGACAAGAAAACATAGCAAGAATAATTAATGCATGTAAGAGCAGCCATGACAGCAAAAAAAAACCCGGCATATGTACCCAAACAGTGAAATTGAACATCAAACCCACCAATTGGGATGGCACCGGCAGCCATGTATTCTACAACACTAATGCCAAAATGCTCATCAGTCATTGAATGAATGCCAGCAACAGCACCCCCTAAAAGTCCCACCAATTCTCTGTAGGTTAATATAACCAGCGAATATATTAGTAGGACAGCATTTAAAATAACCTTATCAATTGATTGACAAGTTCAAAACTGAATTCATGAGATAAAAGTGATTAAGTGGTAAACTAAATTTAGTGAAAGAGTTATTAGTTTTTTTATCAAGACTTCTTAACTAATTCAAAACCTAATTAACAATTCATGCAACTTACTTTGTTTCCCTATTACGACAAGTGATCTCCAAGCTACAAATCGTGTATCTCAAGTAACACACCTCCCCAGTCCAATAAAAGGCTCAATGACACCATGTATAAAGTATTTAGAAGAAAAGTCCTTGCAGCCTTATCAACATGACTATAGATAGAACTTTATGACTGAAAAAATGCACTGTAGAGGAGCCATACCCAACCATAAAAAATTTAATAAAAATACCAATAGATGAATGAACCATATACCAATTGTAAGTCTTCAGTTAATTGTTAATAAAGTTCCCAAATAATGTATGCTGTGTTTGACTTTGACAAATGATATCAGATTAATTGATATGAATAAACCAATATTAATTCCATGTTGGAAATCTTCTACAAATTCTACGATCTGAAACAAAATGTTAACCATGTAAGATCCAAATTCATATATAATTTGTATTTTGCAAGAGATTGATACAAGGCTTACACTTCAAGTGTAACAGCATGCTAGTTACAATTCTTAAGTAACCCAACTTGGATGAAGTAATTGATCTTTGTACATTGAATCCAAGTTCTATTTCCTTAGTTTGAGTGTAATCTCTCTAATTTAGTAGTATTTGGCACAACTTTACTTGGATTTTTATCTTCCTTAAACAGAGAAGTCGGACCAAACACAAGTCTATAAACAAGGATAAGGTGAAGTCAATTATCCATCGGAAGAATCAAAAGGACCCTACTCCCACCCACACCCCCCCCCCCCCCCCCAAAAAAAAAAAAAAAT